CAAAAACATGAAAATTTTTAATGAAGTACCCTCATTTCTTATTGAATTCCTAAAAAACAATATTTATAATGAATTTTCATAATTTTCTCGAATTTTTTTTAAGCTTTATTCTGACCGATTCTCGATCAGGATCGCCGATTCGCCGATCCGGATCGTTTTTTTGAAAGCCCAATCCGGGTCACCGATCCGTTTTTTAAACCATTGATCCAAACCATGGACCCGTTTCGGGTTGACCCATCAGCTTTGCGACCCCTACTTTTGGTATGGAGCCCTTCAACTATTGAAAGCCCTAGCATTCCCCAAACTTTCAAACACTAACCCAAGGACACCCTCTTCGTGCACCCAATAAGAGGTGGGCACTCAAACAGTAAACCAAGGCCGAGATGCCGAAACTTTCAAACTTAAGCAGTGAGTTTTGTCCCAATTTGGATGTCCCAACGAGTCTAGCTATGGACCTATTTCTTAATTAAAAAAAGAAGTTTTTTCCTTTTCCTCTTTTTGAGTGCTGCTAGTAATCAATAGTTACCATGACCGAACCGCTCCATCTAACCAATCGGACCATCAACGCGTGTCTTGTCGGTCTAATCCAAAACAAAAATAGAAAACTAATTAAAAATCTATGTTTGATTGGTTTTAGCGAGTCAGATCGATTAAACAAAGGTGAGCATTTATTATGAGATATATTTTACGTTTAAAACTATTATTCCTATTTTAACCTTTACCTTTTGAAAATTCGATCCAATCAACTGTTGGTCGAATTAGTTTTAACAAGCCCAAACTGCTTCGTAGTTCAGTAGCTAGTCATGTCGAAACCCTAGTTTTCCTTAACTCGATTAGGGTTCCTAATTCTAACCCAAGCCTAATCTAGTTCCAACTCAATTAGGGTTGGATTAGGTTAAGGCAAAACCGGTTGTGTCAATGTTTTTCACAGCTGGCCCAGCCATGACATTGTTATCGGCTCATATTCTCATGTACCAATTCAATATCAAATGGTAGGTCCTTAAACACATTAAGTTATGCAGTGAGAGACACATAAAAAGGTCCATATAGTAAATGCCCTATCAATGGGATGTCAAGGAAACCTAGTATGCCATTCACAAGGGTATAATTTGTTGTGCACGGAAGCTCTAAATCTGATGGGTTGATTTTTTTGGCAAATAAAATACAAAAAATAAAACATGAAGCACATACTATAAAAACACAAAGATTTACGTGCTTCACCCCAAAAGGGCTACATCCACAGGCAAAGCAAACTAAAATCCAATATACCAATGAAAATTACTTCAAAGATTTTGAGATATAGAGTTAACTCTCTAACCCTCGACAAAATCAAGTAGAGCAAAACCTTTTAAACATACTCTCTCAAACGACACCACTACCAATTTCTCATCTCTATTTCATAACTAAACCACTGTATAAGAAGATACCATAACTAGACCACTGTCTAAAAGATAACCTTGAGAGCAACTGAAACTGCCTCTCACTACAAGGGAAACCATTCAAAATCTCCAGGAAACCGCTTCTCTACAAGAAACCAACCTCTCACTCTGCAAGAATCTTCAGGAGGCACCATCAATGTTTCTCTTCGTACGAAGCTTTATTTTCTAAAAAGACATTGCATCTTATGCACAGGAGGCCCTGCTCCCCTCTCTCTCTAGAGGAACCACCATTGGTGACCCAAATAGGGCACACCAATCTTTTCATCTTTCATCCCATATATCTAAGGTTAGAAATTTATACTAAATAGGAAACTTCTTATAAACATCACATATATCTCAAAAACCAAGAGATATACCCAAGAGTTTTAATCTTTTTGGATTTCTATTTCTTTTAGGAAACTTATCAATGTCAATCTCGATCTCACATAATATGGGATTTCTTTATGTAGGTGATTTTGGATAGCACCAAATCCAACATAATTTGGGGTGCCCTCTCAATGTATCACTTATCTTTATGTGTTAGGAGAATGGCTAAAAGTGACTGAGGACCACGTATATTGTGAGGTCATAATTGGTGTCTAGCATCATTGTTGGCTCACTCCCTACCGTCCTTTATATGCCTCCAAAGGTTCGCAAGTTGGGGAATAACAATATATCATCTCACCATAAAATCGGCATTAAAACAGTTTTGCTCCAAATAGTTGGATCCAAAAATTTAGGTAAAAAATACATATCGACAAGAATAAGTAAAAATATCGTGAGCTCAAAAAAGTGAGTGCAAAAATGGATATCCGTCCACACATATAGACGCAAAACTTTACGTTAAAAATATGAACAAACAAGTAAAAATATCGTGAATATATTGGATTGAGCTCAAAAAATCGAGTGGAAAAATGGACGTATAAAATTTAAAAAAATAAATAAACTTGCAATACCAAATTTGAAATTTTAAAACAAAAATCTCTTCCTAGTAATGGTCATTTTTTGTTTTTCGCTTCTTCATGAATCCTGAATCTACGTTATCTGGAGTTTTATGTGATAGTCGTAATACCAATGAAGCTTAAGGGGACGTTCTATAGGACAGTTGTGAGATCATCTTTGCTTTATGGGATGAAATGTTACAACATAGCCATAGGATAGGTATAGCTGAGATGAAGATGTTGAGACAGATGAATGGTAAGATAAGAATGGAAAAAACTCGAAATTAATATTTTTAAGAGAACTTAGATGTAGCTCCAATAGGTAATATGATGAGATCAAGTGGATTTAAGTGGGCTGGCCATGTGCAACGCCAACCCAATACATCTGTTAGGAGGTACGAGTTGGTTCAAATACAAAGCTCAAAAAAAACAAGTAGGCCCCAAAAGACATGGTTGGAAGTAGTGAGAAAAAATATGACGACCTATAACCTCACTGAGGATATGACTCTTGATAGAGCAGAATGACAGACCAAGATTCATGTAGCCAACCTCAAGTAGTTGGAAAATGGCTTTGATGATGATGATGATGATTCTTTGGAGATATAGTTCTTTTATAGGGAAAGTCCTTTTCTTGGATAATAGCTTTTAGAGTTCAACTTTTTTTTCTTTTTTTTTTTAGAGAACACATTTTTCTTTGATCTTGGAACACCTTTTTGGCTTGGAAATATTTTGATGAAATTTTTCACTAATTTCAATTTGTTTGTTGCCAAGACTTACAAAGAATCCAATCTATTGATTATTGATTTAATTCTACACTGTAAGTTTTAAATTCATCATATGTTTAAGTGAATAGATTTAGTAAGTTATCTCATTCATTATTTTTAATTACTAAATCTATTCAAGGTAAATTTATGATAACTTTCCCTTACGTATTAATAATTATACATATATTTACATATCTCCATCGTCTCCAGATACTACATCAACTTGGTGAGATATATGTACAAGAGGGTATAACTAGTGGAGAGACAAATAAGTTTTCATTAATAATAACATCAGGGATTAGTGTTGAGTTAATACTCTTTGTCGTAGTGGTAGACGATTTACTATGCACCGGCAAGATGAGGTGCAACTGTATATGTTGCTCACGAACGACAATAGTTTTGATCGATGAGACCGAAACGGCTTCAACATAAACTTAGAACTTTGAAATGATGCTCTAGAATCTAAATGTGGTAAAATTAGTCGGATTGAGACAGAGCTATAAAATGTAAGTTTAGTAATAATAAGAGCAGAGATAAAGAAGTAGTTAAGATTGAAGGCCAAAAAATATAAAAAAATAGCACATTTTTATATCTTGGGTCGATAATCAAATAAAATTAGGAGATTGAAAAAAATGTCGCACATCGAATTATATCTGGGCAAAACTGAAGTTTTATGTGATCATCACATACCAATGAAACTGAAAGGGAAGTTCTATAAGACAGCTACGAGACCAGCTTTGCTTTATAGGGTAGAATGTTAACGGACAAGAAACAACATACCCATAGGATGTGTGTAGTCAACAAAAAAAGGTAACCAAATCCAGCCAAACCCAATCCATTTACATATTTCAGTAATATAAGCATGAAAACTGACAAGCTCAAACCAGTTTATATGTACAATCTTGAGTAAATCTGAGCAAAGAAATTGTGAGATAAAGGCGTAGACCAAAGGTCAGAAGCGTGTTTACTTGTTCTTTTCTACCCTCTAGTACTTTTTACCAAAGAAGTTCTACTTACCTGGAGGCGAGCGTCCAAAAGTTGAGCAGAAAGGATGGGGAAATGGTGAACCAGCTGATGAAGGCCATGGCAGTTGCAGTCTCAAATCTTGCACAATGGTTTTGTGAACACTGTCCGAGATCGTTACCGATTAGAACTGTGATCCCAGCTGATGCACAAGCCGCTGCAAATGTCAACGTGGATGTAATCTGCAAGCACACGGGCATAAAAATTAAATAAAAGTTCTTTTCCTGGAAAAAGAAAAGTAGAAGGAACTTGCTGAGGAAAAATTAATACGAGGAAAGAGAACACAAAAGAAGAACAATAAGTCTGGTTAAACATGGTTTCATATGATTATAGGCTTCAATTCTATTATTCGATTTGGACAGATGGGACAGTCATTAAAGAGGGCGTGAGAATTTTTATAGATTGAACCCTTTATGCAATAAAAACCGGTTTGAAATACAAACTTATAAAAAGTCAGAATCGGTTCCGACTCGTCAGGGGTCCAAGCTGAGTCCCTGGTCCAACTCGGGTGAGTCTTGAATTGGACCAGGTATTTTTAACAAGAAACATTTTAAACAAAACACTGAAAAACTGGGAGACCACAGTGATTACAGGGATTTCGGGATTTTCAGCCCAGAATAACCAGACTCCCCATCCCGTTCAACTCAGGTAAATACCAAGTAGGACAAGCGATTTTTCAAACATTGGGAAACATCACCAGATATTTATTTTAAAAATACACAAAACCTACAACAACCGGTGCATATATATGCAGATCAAAGTTACTCACCTGTATATTTGCATATGTTATACATGTAGTCATTTAGCTTAAAACCAACCAATTTGGAGCTCTCCTTCAGGTAACATGGGCTGTCGATTAATTTCATTTCAGAATCAGAGAATGAAACGAGAACTGCCTCTCTCTCTCTCTCACACACACACACACACACAAACAGAGGCAGAATGTGCATATGTGTGTGTATGAGAGAGTAAATGTAAGGAATAGATAGGCACGCTAGTCGGGATGAATCCAAAACTACTGATAATCTTTTTTTATAGTTTCTCAAACTATGAGAAGAAATACATTTACTCCCTTGGGCAAACCCCAGATACAAGCATTTTTAGGACCCCACATATTGGGATGTGAGCTACCCAACTTAGCTACCAACCTAAGTAACAGCATTTCAATAGACACCTTGGAACTGCGTGACATAAATCACACCCTACGATTGCAGACCGACCGTCCAATTTCTGGACAGATGGATCTAAATGTTAAGGTACTTAAAAATCCAGTATGTTCTGGGATTATATACTATTAGAGCATTTATCTTTGTT